CCAGTGGAAGAAAATTTCCGGATTCAGGGTACACTTCCTGGACTCACACTTCATCTTTCAAAACGTGATATCTTCATCTTCGATGTACGTAGTGCACGATCCCAAAGTCAAGCTGTGGCTATAGGCCTCTCACATTTTCCACGGACTGCTATTACCTGTTATAAAAAATAGCTGGTCACAATAATCAGTTTGCCAGAGCAAATTAGAGAATTTTCCACGTCTGGCTGGCACTTTCTCTCGCATGGAGTGGCTGGACGAGAAGCCAATTGCAAGAGGGGCAGTTCCCTTTTTGCCGTACACTTTCTCTAGAAACGAGCCAGGATCGACTCAAATGAGCGTTATTGAATTGCAGTACTGTTATTTGTCATCTCTACAATGGAAAATACGTCAAAGTGTAAGGCTCCCAAAGTTTTCCGAAGTGTAGTCCTGGATTACGGTTGCTTAAGTACTTACACACGGAGAGCTGGATTAACCCAGCGCGGCTCGCTGTAAATCAGAGGCGCGTCATCTGGACTTGCAGTGCGAAGCGGCAATGCTTGTCCTTCCAATTCACATGCCCCCACTTCTCGCGATGAAGCTCCAAAGTCTCCGGGTGCTGCTGCATTTCCTTCGATGCAAAGGCGATGGCGAATGGATAACGGGGAACCGCGAGAAGTACATAATCTTTTCGGTTACGCTGCTCCGCTCGTTGCAAACACCACAGCCCCATCGGGAATGGACTTTTCCGAAGTGCCCAACATATGACTTCGTGATCAGTCTGCAGTTCTGTGGGAAGAATGTCGAATAAAGTTCCGCAGTTCTTGAGCGCCTCAAATACAAGTGCGCGGTCCCACTCGCACAACTGCAAGGCCTTCTCAACGAAATACTCGGAATGCCGGAGCCCGTTCAGGATAGCGCGTCGTGCGAGATTTTTTTGTTCGTCGGGGGACATCGTCTTTCCTAGAATGTGGAAATTGATGGAGCCGTACGCATTGCCATGTTTGTATGTAAAAAGAAAGACCTTGAGCTCTATGCTACATTGATTGTCAGACCTCTCGATGCGCATATGATTGTTGATCCGGTCTGGCTAAAGACAGAACTTTCCTTGCGAGAGCCCTCTTTCCCCGCACAGAAGAACTGCTGCTCAAGAACGATGAATGTTGTGCCCCCGTTTTGTCTACAAATCAAAATTAATTAATAGATACGAAATAAAAATTATTGAGGGACGAAGCCTGCGCTCTTCATGGCAGTCCATTCTGCAGCCTATACTAGACTTTACTGCAGCCTATACAAGCCCATGCACTTTGTAAAGCTTTGAATTCAGGACTTTTCTCTGTTTGATAAATTTGACACCGCCAAGGCCGCTATTTCCGCATTGGCGCACAAATTTCCCGGTGCTGAAGAAAGAGACATCCCATTCCTGTGAACCGCAGCCCGTACCACGGCGTCGTCCGCTCGCAAAGTCCTTTTTAGACGCCCGAGAATCAGGGGCAGGTCCGTGTTTTTCAGTTCGTGTGAAACAGCTGCGACTGCAATATCTTTGTCGGACTTCATGCGACTGCTGCAATACCTGATTGCGTCTCCGTCACGAGTGAGCACCTCCAGTAGAAGCTGCCGATTCTGTCGAAATTCTCGCGGCAGCAAGCGGACAGCTTTTGGGTACTGCTTCACTAAGTGTGTGGCTAATTCCGGGCAACCCCCATAAAAGGCTGCGCGTACGTTTTTTTCGGCGTGAGACAGGATAAGCTCCGCTTCTTCGAAGCACATGTCGATGTCACTCTCGAGAAGTACTTTTCGCAAAAAATCAATATTAGACCGGAGCTGCTTTCCTGCGTACTGAAAGGGACAGGACGCAGAGAAGTTGCTGTCGTCCTCGCGCTTCCACATCCTCCAGCTGATACCGTCATAATTTTCCACTTGAACACCCTTGCAAAATTGCCGAATTGCCAGTAGAACGAGACCGCTGTCGCGTCTCAGTCTCGCACTTGCAAACTCTAGCGCCGCCGGGGTGTGCTCGACGCAAAGCGCTACCAGTTCGTTGTTGTCTTGTAAGCCGGGGCTAGCACCATGCAATATTTCTAGTCCGAGGGGTCGAGGGCCATCATGTCGGTCAAAACACGCGCTATTGTTCCGCGGGAAGTTGTTTCGGTCTTCATCTCCCACCACCTAAAATGATGAAAAATGTTCCACCATCCAGTCCCCATCCCCTTCGAAAAATATCCGTGTCGCAACGCATGTAGCCTTGACAAAACCAATACTGAAACGAAAAGAGTTGGCGTCACTGCACGGTCGCGCAATGATGAGTGCTCTATGGAAGCATGTTGCACTTTAATTAATTATGCGCGCATCTGAATATTTATTCAAAGACTAGAGTCCTCCTCATGCCCTCGGTCTCTCTTCTGTTTGCAGCTACGGACCGTACCCGAACCCGTAGAATAAATAAGTAAATCATACATGATAAAGTAAGGCTCGCTCGGTCGGATGCGCCGTTGGAGGAGATTAAGTACAAGTGGAATTGCGTGGATGTTCAACGGCGGAAGGTCTTCACCAACATACGGCTCGTTCGACAGGCTGCACTGCCACGGGCAAAGCGGTTCCATCGCCTCTGCCAGCTTCAGTGTCATCTGATTCGCCGCCTACTATTTCGCGCGGATCCCTGTTGAAGAGCAAATCGTGATCCCTGCACCAGCAGTCACAGTGATGCTCTATGAGCCCGCGGAACTCCACATGCTTGAGATGCCGTCCGTCACGTTGCAAAAATTCTTCTTGTGGCTCGCCGGTACTATAGCTGAAATAAAAATTATTCATCCCGTAGAAAAAATTCTGACCGTTTGTGTCTGCATGTGCGCGACGTTCGGCTTCGGTCTCCTTGAGATGCATCTTCATGGTGGCTCGAAGTAGCTGGAGATCGGTTCTGCGCAGTCGGGTCTGCAAGTAGCGGACCGCATAAGGGTTGTTTTGAGTGGCAAGCTGCGCGATCTCTCGATCGGCTCGCAGATCCTCGGAGGCAAATCTAATTGCTAAACCGTTGCTCTGCACTGCCATCCTCACCAGCTTCGTGCAGGCTCGCAGCCGCTTCGAAGCGTACTTGAGTGCAGGTAGACCATCGACGCTGGCGACGCAGGCCATGATTTTGTCGTCGTCCCAAAGCAATGTCGAGGAATACTGAATTGCCCAGGGCCTGCTCTTCACGCAGAGCTGCACCACAGGAGCGTCGTTTTGTGTTGTCTCGGAAAAGTATTTCAAGGCCCAACCGCATTGGTGCGCCGCAGATTCGATCATCTCTGGATCGCCCGAGGCTCGGACTGTTGGCGCTGCGTATTTCAGTGCTCGCCAATCACACTTTACAGCAACACGCACTACCTCAATGTCATCACGAAGTGCAGGGTCGCAATATTTAAGCGCCAGCCCATTCGCGCGACATGCTACTAGGGCCAGATCTTTGTCAGAGTTGAACAGCCGAACGAAATCTTCGTTTAAACATCTCGGATCCTGGCCCGGTAAAAGACAAATCTGCATTCGAAGCTCGACAAACTTCTGCAAAAACGACAAGTTCCACCGATACTCAGGATACTTCAGTTGAATTACGCGGATGCAGTAGTCGGTGGCTTCATTGCCTAACTCGCGGATGCTGTCAGCGTCGTCTTCTTCTGCTGCAGCGCCGTGTAGATTGTTCGTTACGGCTCCTTCTTCATCATCAGACCAAAAAGCAGACTCTTCTAGAAAATCCCTCCCAAAGGTACCAAGAGCATGATGGAAGCAGTGCCAAGCTTCCCTCTCCAAGTAGTTGGAGATGGACACCAGAGCTTTCGACGGACGCTCGTCGAAGACGACAGTTACTATATCGACGTCGACTGGAATTGCGAGCCGAGGGTCGTACAAGAATTTTTCTTGTTCTTCCGCAGGATGCCCACGACGTTGCTCTTCCGCGTGTTCCGCTTCCGAGCGAGGCTCGAACGCTTCGATTGGTTGCTGCCTATCATAAGTACTGCCCCAGAAGTACATCTGGTCCTCCGCAGGGTGAGAGGTTGCGGCTTCGACCATCTGCATAATCGCTCCCAGTCGGACCTCTGACACGATCGCGCTTTGGTCGCTGCGTCCAGCTTCGTTGAAAGACACTGCTTCGGTTTCTGCGGCGCGGGCGGCATCGTGGCACGATAAGTCGCAGGATTTCTCTTGCGTCACAGGTATACATGTCTCCGGTCGTAGTTGCGCACTTGATGTACTGAGTTCGCACAGGGGGTCACCTGCAAGATTACAAACTCTGATCCGCCGCTCTTCAACTGCGCTATCACTGTGCCGCGGGTCAGAGTCCCCCACCAGTGACCAAATGCTCATCTGACGAAGGTGGTTGTAGGTCGTCCTGGTGGACCTTGCAAAACATACGACTGCGCAAAACGCGAGAAATCATGAGGTGAGCAGCGTAGGGGTTCCACCTGCTTCTGCGCGAATATAGGCATGCTGAGAAGTACAGGGCTGAAACTGAAATATTTTACATAAAGCAGGGCTGAAGCTGAGCTTGGTATTTCTAGTCAAGAAAATGTACTTAGGCACAAATTCTAGAATACGTATTCGACCGCTGAAAACTTAGCAGCTGGCAGGTCAGTTACTTAATTTTTCGTCTTCTGAAAGAAGCGAAAAAATTGAAAAAGGATTGTATCGAGAGGGCACTTTTCTTGACTACAGCCGGCGGATCTCATGCCGTAAGAATGTCACGACTGATTTAATGTTCTGATATCCATTTTCCCTTTCTACGTGCGCCTGCTATGAAAGATCGGCTTCAAAAATTTATCAACAGATAAAGGCCGAAAAAAATTGGTTTTAAATTCATTGAGTGAAAGGAGGTAAAACTTTCATGGATCTCGGTCTCACATCCTACGGCTATTCCTGTTTTCAATAGCCACACAGCTGAAAAAGCCAGCTCCTCGATAATTGTAGAAATGCGCCTTCCTCATCCTCTATACGTCGTGTCATTCTGTGCTTCTGCGGGATTCAAGTTCAATGATCCATGGTCTTTCTCAGACAAGGAGATGAACAAGCTACATAAGATTCACGACGAAGCGAGCACTGCTGAACATGGGTTAAAATTGTTACAATTACATACAATATTCGTGCGAAGCGCGATAATTCTACTCAAGATGACAAGTCTAATCGAGGAACTACACTGACTAGAACCTCCGGAGATCAGAACATTTCGCTTTCACTCTTTTTTTTCATTTTGCTTGCGTCGCCACTTCCACCACCAGGTCACGTATATATAACTGGCGTACTAGGTACTGAACAGCTGCTTGCTACGACGAGGGCAACCGAAAGCAGTGACAGTTTGCCTGCGCGTCAAAAATTCCTCATGGTTGATCTCCGGATGAAGCGTCAGAATCACTCGTAGTTGGTTTGCCCATACTTGTCCACGTCAAGATCTTGTTTTCTTAGGCGCCGAATCAAATTAGTATCATGTTCCACGGGAGGCGCTGGCATAGGGAGAAATGATCAGAAATACTGCTCCTGCCTGTATGGACCACAGATGCTCAGATTTCAAGAAAACCACAACAATAATTGTCCACAATTTGATATCCTGTATGTCCACAATTCCGTTTTTGCTGTATATTTTCACTGGAAACGAGCCAGGATCAACACAAGTGCGCTATTGAGTTGCCTTGCTGTTGTTTGTCACCTCTACAATAAAAAGCACTTCCGTCAGAGTGTAAGGCTCCAAAAGTTTTTCGAAGTGTCCTCCTGGTTCAACGTTGCTTACTGACACGCGGACAGCTGGATTTGATTAACCGATCGCGGCTCACTGTACATCAGAAGCGCGTCATCGCGACTGGCAGTGCAAAGCGCCAATGCTTGTCCATCAAATTCACATGCCCCCATTTCTCGCGCTGAAGCTTCAAAACCTCCGGGTGGCACTGCATTTCCTTTGATGCAAAGGCGATGGCGTAGGGATACCGGGCAACGGCGAGGAGAACGTACTCTTTTACACCGCGCTGCTCTGCTCTCTCCAACGACCACAACCCGGTTGGAAAGGGACTTTTTTTGAGCGCCCAACAAATAATTTCGTGATCCATCATAAGTTCCGCAGGCAAACTTTCAAACTCGCCAAAGAGGGTGCCACAGTTTTGAAGTGCAACGAAGACAAGAGCGCGCTCCCAATTGCACAACTCGAGAGCCTTGTACAGACTAGTGGCACAGCTCAACCCATTGCGAATTGCAAGTCGTGCAAGATCTCTCTGGCTGTCGATGGGCGCTACTTCCCCGAAGTGGTTGAAGTTGACTTGGCTGTACGCATTTCCGTCACGTCATGGCATGCAAAAATAACGGGCTCTCATAATTTTGAAAGGCTGTGGAACTTCTCGTTGAGTTTATTGTAGTTTACAAAAAGAACAACTTCATCGATACAGCTTTGAGAGATCTACACTAGCGTCTGCAATAGTTCTATTTTTCCACCATGCATGCATCCTGTCCAGACAATGCGCGACATTGCGGCGCACAAAAACAAGTGAGCACCGATATTTTTGAAGTCCGCGGGATACTTTTGACACAGCCAGAAAAGCGATTTCAGGAGTACCTCGGAGATATCGGCATGCGTGGCGAAGGGAATTTGCATTTCTGCAAATCGCAGCGCACACAATACCCTCATCGCGGCGTAGACGCTTGTGCAGGTATTCGAGTGTCCAGGGGCAGAAAATATTTTCCATTTCATGAGAAACGGCCATGAAACCTACCTCGCGATCAGATTTAATGCGGCTGCCGAAGTATTTGATCGCTTCCCCGTTTGCGCGAACCGCTTGAAGTGCTATTTCTCGATCCAGCCTGAAGCCTCGAGGCATCCACCGAAGTGCAGTCGGATACCGCTGGACAAATTGCGTCGACAACTCTACGTCTTCTCCGTAGAAAGCTGCCTTTGTTTTCTCGTCCGCGTGGGAGAGGATGATTGTAGCTTCTAGGGAGGACATTGGTATATTCTCATCGAAAAGCACTGCTCGCAGGAAGGATGCGTCGGCTCGCAGACGTTCGCAAGCAAACCGCATTGGACACGCATCAGTTATCTCTCTGCGTTCGTACTCTCTGTCTGCCAAGGAGCTGCCTCCAGCGTCACAAGGTTCTTCTGCCAGAATATCCCCCTTGCAAAATTTTCGAACGGCGTGAGCAACAAAGCGACCGTTACTTCGGATTCTGGAGCTCGCAAATTCGAAGCACGCGGGACTCGCTTCAAGACAAAGAGTCACAAATTCTTCGTCGTCTCGTAGCTCTCGACTAGCACTGGACAAGATTTCTATTCCGAGCTCTCGAGGCGGCTGGGCGCCGGGAGTGCGGGCGAGGTCCGCCTCCGGAAGGTTCGCGTGCATTTCGTTTCCGTTTTGCGAATCAAGAACCTGCGCAAGCTCGTTCTGACCTGCAGAGTGGTCTTCGTGATGAGGTGGGTCCGCCTCGCACTGTGAGTGATGGTGTTCACGACACCAGGAGTCAGAATGATGCTCAACAAGCCCGCGAAAATCCACATGCTTTAGATGCCGTCCGTCCCACTCGGGAAACCACTGCCACGGCCCGCGGTGACACGTGATAACGCTGTAGTGCAGATTCTCGCAGAAAAATTTCTGCCCGTAGACGTCATCAAGGGCGGCGCGCTTCTCCTCATTATTTGCGTAGACGTCGAGTGCTGTGCGGAGAAGCTCGCGATTGGTTCGGCGCAGCTCATGCGCCAAGTACCGAACTGCATATGGATTATTGCGGACGGCAAGAAGTGCGATCTCGTAATTCGCCCGAACCTCTCTGCAGGCGAACTTGATTGCTAGCCCGTTGGTCTGCACCGCTAGCCTCACCAGCCATTCGCTGGCTCGTAATCGGCGTGACGCGTACTTCAGAGCAGGAAGGCCGTCTGTTTTAGCCACGCAGGCCATGGTGTCGTTGTCGTCCCAAAGGCCCTCGGAGGCATACTGAATCGCCCAAGGCTTATGCCGAACGCAAGTTCGGACCAATTCAGGACTTGCTTTTGAGTCGGCTGCGAAGTACTTTAAGGCCCACCCGCACTGACGCGCCGCGTCGGAAACAGTCTGAGCATCGGCCATTTCCCGAACCCGTTCTGAGGCATACTGCAACGCTCGCCAGTCGCAGCAAACCGCAGTGCGCACAACCTCCACGTCATCGCGAAGTGCAGAGCACAAATGCTTCAACGCAAGTCCATTGGCCTTGCATGCAACAAGTGCGCGCTGCTTACTTGAGGCAAAGAGGCTCGCCAAATCCCACGGCAG